AAAAAAAAAAAAAAAAAAAAAAAAAAAAAAGATCAGTGGTTGCCAGGGGTTGGGGGGAGGGAGGGATAAATAGGGAGAACACAGGATTTTTAGGGCATGACACCACTCCATGATACTATAACAGTGGATGCATGTCATTGCACATTTCTCAAAACCTTTGAATGTACAACACCAAGAGTGAGGCCTGATGTAACATATGGACTTTGGGTGACAATGATATGTCAATGTAGGTTCATCAGTTGTAACAACTGTACCTTTTTAGTGTGAGATGATGATAATGGAGGTTATGCATGTGTGGGAGCAAGGGGTATATGTAAATCTCTTTTCTTGCAATTTTGCTATGACCCTAAAACTTTTAAATAAAGTCGTAAATGTATATGCATATGCATATGTATATGTATATGTAGTCACACCAAGAGTCTAGTAAGTAGGGTTGGCTTTTTCCACATTATTTCAGTTTTCTGACATTAATAGTGTTGGTGCAACATAACTGAATTATATATTCACACTAATATCATCCTGCCATATTCTAGCTCTTATAAGATTTGAGTGCGTAATCAGCATGGATTGAAATGTTAATTAGTGAGAATCAGATTTTTTTTTTTTTTTTTTGAGATGGAGTTTTCGCTCTTGTTGCCCAGGCTGGAGTACAATGGCACAATCTTGGCTCACCGCAACCTCCTCCTCCCAGGTTCAAGTGATTCTCCTTCATCAGCCTCCTGAGTAGCTGGGATTACAGGCATGTGCCACCACCCCCAGCCAGGAGAATCAGATATTTTTACCAGCATCTTGTCTAGATTCTCTAAGCCTTAAAAATGAAGAAGTGGCCAGACATGCTGGCTCACACCTATAATCTCAGCACTTAGGGAAGCTGTGATAGGAGGATCGCTTGAGCCCTAGAGTTTGAGACCAGCCCTGGCAACATAGTGAGATCTCAGCTCTACAAAAATTTTAAAAATTAGCTATGTGTGGCTGCACGTGCCTATAGTCCCAGCTAGTCAGGAGGCTGAGGTGGGTGGATCACTTGAGCCTGGGAGGTTGAGGCACAGTGAGCTGTGGTTGTGCCACTGCATTCCAGCCTGGGTGACAGAGTGAGACCCTGCCTCAAAAAAAAGAAAAAAAGAAGAACTAAAAAGCATATGTTAGAATTAGAAATACACACACACACACACACACAAACCCCATTAGACCCAAGGAAAATGGAACCAAGTTTAGCAACATAGAGGAAAACAGTCTCCTACATAAAGCAGCTGACTATTCAAGACTTTATGAAAAAAAAAGTCAGTACCCCTTTCAACTATGTTAAGTAGCAAAGAATGGTAAATGCCAAGTATAGTAGGACAAATATAGATGTTACAGGTAACCAATATTTTTTTTAAACTAATGCTAAGAGTTTTTCCATGAGCACTTCATTATGGAACTCTCATATGGATTGCTGAGTATAAATACATAACTGCTTTAAGAGCTTTTTTTCCTCTTTTCAGTTATCTTTCTTTATTCTCCTCCTGTTTATATCTGTCAGAGAAAGAGAGAAAGAGAGCGAAGCATAAAGCAAATATGCACATTTTAAAAATAGAAAGCAAACATCCATATAATCATCATCAAAATCAGGAAATAGGACATTGCTGGCCCCCAAGAATGCCCCGTTTAAACTGTCTTTCTATGCTTCTGTAAGACACAACAGTGACACAAGAATACACTTGTTTCCTTGGTGTTGTTAAGTGAGCAATCAACAAGCACAGGTGCATCAAGAAAATGCATATGTTTCATCATAAAATTTGTATTTACTGTTATCATCGCTCTCCACAAAAAGCTGACTCTGCAATCAAAATTGTGTACTAATATGGGAAAGACAGCTGCAGGGCGAAATACAGTAGTGAACTTCCATGTGCCAGGTAGTGCTAGGATGTAGATGCCTTTTTAACAAAGGCAGCATTGTTTCTTAAAATCTGATGTAAAAATAATAGGGGGTGGAGGGGATTATTCACTTCGGGAAGTATTCTTCCTAGGATTTTATAATATAACTCCACCCTGCCAACTCTGGAGGTCTGGGGGATCTTCTCCTCCTGGCTTCTCATTCTCCTTCCTTCTCTTCCCTCCTTTCACATATCCTCCTATTTATTTATTTTCTTTGAGACTGAGTCTTGCTCTGTTGCCCAGGCTGGAGTTCAGTGGCAAGATCTTGGCTCACTGCAAGGCCCCTGCCTCCCAGGTTCAAATGATTCTCGTGCCTCAGCTTCCCAAGTAGCTGGGATTACAGACACCCACCACCATGCCTGGCTAATTGCTGTATTTTTGCAGAGATGGGGTTTCGCCATGTTGGCCAGGCTAGTCTTGAACTCCTGACCTCAAGCAATCCACCTGCCTCGGCCTCCCAAAGTGTTGGGATTACAGGCATTAGCCACTGTGCCTGGCCTCTCTGGTCTATTTTAACCAGTTCCTGACATTCTCATATCATACCTTTGGGCTAATGTTCCTTGACCGGGGGGCAATGGAGCCACCCAGATTGTTTGCAATGATTTCCTGATGGAAAGAGTCTTAGATGTGAGGCCTCACTTTCTTGGAACACCCTTGCTTTAGCTCCTGGAGGAAGTCCTGCCTTTCTTAAAAGCCTCCCTCAAATCTCATCATCTTTGTCATCTTGAAGTCACCCAGTTGGGTTTAATCTCTTCCTATCCCCATGTCTTCAATCTGTCTTTTAGCACTGATGACAGTGTTATGTTAGAATTGTTTCTATAGGTGCCTCTCACTCCTGCTGGTCAGGAACTGTATCTCTCTTAACCACTGTATTCCCTATTACTAGTCCTGCGCTTTACCCCGGTTGAATTGATTTGTGAATCTAGTATATTTAAAATGTGATCACTGCTGGGCGTGGTGGCTCACATCCGATTTGGGAGGCCAAAGTGGGAGGGTTCCTTGAGCTCAGGAGTTTGAGACCAGCCTGGGCAACATAGCAAGAACTTCGTCTCTTTTAAAAACAAGAAAATTTGCCAGGACGGTGGTGTACATCTGTTCCCAGCTATTTGGGAGGTTGAGGTGGGAGAATCACTTGAGCCTGGGACTTCGAGGCTTCAGTGAGCCATAACGGTGCCACTGCACTCCACCCTGGGCAACAGAGTAAGATTTTGTCTCTAAATAAATAAAAATAAGATGTGATCAGTCCAGGTACACTGGATCACACCTGTAATCCCAGCACTCTGGGAGGCTGAGGTGGGAGGATTGCTTGAGCCCAGGAGTTCAAGACCAGCCTGGGCAACATAGTGAGACCCTGTCTCTATAAAACAAAATCTCTACCAAAAAAGTCTCTACCAAAAAAAAAAAAAACCTCTGCTGGGGTTACAGATGTGTACAGTGGCATACACCTGTAGTCTCAGCTACTTGGGATATGGAAGTGGGAGGATCACTTGAGCCCAGGAGTTTGAGGCTGCAATGAGTTATGTTCACGCCATTGCACTCCAGCCTGGATGACAGAGAACCTATCTCAAAAAAAGAAAAAATGTGGCTGGGCACAATGGCTCATACCTGTAATCCCAGCACTTTGGGAGACTGAGGCATTGGATCACTTGAGGCTAGTAGTTCGAGACCAGCATGGCCAACATGGTGAAACCACTTCTTTACTAAAAATAAAGAAATTAGCTGTGTGTGGTGGTACACACCTGTAATCCCAGCTACTCAGGAGGCTGAGGCAGAATATCACTTGAACTGGGGAGGTGGAGGCTGCAGTGAGCCGAGGTGGAGCCACTGCATTCCAGCCTGAGTGACAGAGCAAGACTCCATCTCAAAAAAAGAAAAAGAAAAAAATGTGATCAATTTGACATTTTCCTAGGCAGCATCTCAGGCATGTTGTCTATAAAATTCACCATGAAGAGTGAATATATGTTAAAATGTTTTGAAGCTTCACCTTTGGAAATGTACCTTTTCCTTTTCCACTATTAAAGAAGGAATTAGCCAATATTGTATGGTCAGAAAATAAAAGATTATGGATGAGAGATAATGAAGTGAGTTTACAACCTCTGTTAATCTGTTGGTGTCCTTGTCCATTCTGTGCAGTCACTTCAGCTTTCGCCGGGGCAATACAATGTGCTTCCTGCACCAGTTCCCAAATATGCTTCCAGGTAACTATATACTTATTAAATACACTGATTTCCACCATTTTATCATGCCTTTCTGCTTACATACCTACATGCCAATACTCATGGCTCTTAAACTTCATTTATGCACCTCATATGCAGATTAACATTTTAAAATATTTAATGAAAGATAGGGAATAATTTTAAAAAGATCTTTAAAAAATAGATTCAGAAAATCATTTTTTTTTAATATAGGAGCTGTGCATTTCGTTCAGCAGTTCAAAGATTCCCAACAACCTATTTTGTTCCTGTAAGTATAATGTAGACAGTTAACTCATGATGAATTTGATGTTTAAAATATGCTGTGCTTTCTGGAATGGAGCAAGATGGCCAAAAAGAACCCTCCAGTGATCGTTCCCCCAGCAGGAACACCAAACTGAACAACTATCCACATAAGAAAACACCTCTATAAGAACCAAAAAGCAGGTGTGGGATCACAATAGCACAATGACCAGGTTTTAACATCGCATCAGGGAAAGAGGCACTGAAGATGGTAAGGTAGAAAAGAGTGTTGAATTGCTGACACCACCCTCCCCATCCCCTGGCAGCAGCCAAGTGGCCTAAAGAGAGAATCTGCTCTTGGGGAAGAGGGAATGCAGTGATTGTGGGACTTTGTATTGGAACACAGTGCTACCTGTCACAGGCAAAGCAACACAGGGCAGAATTCAGCTGGCGCCTGTGGCGGCAGCATTTAGACCAGCCCTAGCCAGACAGGAATTGCCCATCCCAGCCGTTAGACGCCGAGTTCCAGCTCTCCCCACCACTGTGGGCTGAAGTGCTCTGAGGTCCTAAATAAGCTTCAAAGGCAGTCTAGCCACAAGGACTGCAATTCCTGGGCAAGTTCTGGTGCTGTGCTGGGGTCACAGGCAGTAGACTTAGGGTGTCTAAGACCTAGTGAGACACCAGCTGGGGCAGCAAAGGGAGTGCTTGTAGTACCCATCCTCCCTCCCCAGGCAGCACAGCTTGCAGCTTCAAGAAAGCCTCCTTCCTTTCACTTGAGAAGAGGAGAGGAGAGAGTAAAGAGGACTTGCCTTGCAATCTGAATACTGGCTCAACCACAGCAGAATAGAGCACCTCAGGCACAGTCCTGAGGCCCCCATTCCAGGCCCTAGCTCCCAGACAACATTTCTAGACACACCTCAGGCAGGAAGGGAATCCACTGCCTTAAAGAGAAGGACCTAGTTCTGGCAGCATTTATCACCTACTGACTAAAGAACCCCTGGGCTTTGAATAAACACCAACAGTGGCCAGACAACACTCACTGCAGGCCTTAGCCAGACAGTGCTGTGCTGCTTCCTGTGTGACCCAGCACATTCCCAGCTACGGTGGCCACAGGGAAAGACTCCTGCTTGAGGAAAGGAGAGGGAAGAGTAAAGGGGATTTTGTTTTGCAGCTTGGGTACCAGTTTGGCCACAGTGAAGTAGAGCATCAAATAGGCTCCTGGGGTTCCCAATTCTAGGCCCTGGCTCCTGGATGGCATTTATGGACTCCAGCTGGGCCAGAGGGGAGCCCACTGCTCTGAAGAGAGAGACCCAGCCCTTGCAGCATTCCCCACAAGCTGGCTGAAGAGCCCTTGGGCCTTGAGTGAACATTAGTGGTATCCAGGCAGTACTTGCTACAGGCCTGGGTGGTTGTGGCCATAGAGAGACTCCTTCTGCTTGAGGAAAGGGGAGGGAAGAGTGGGAAGAACTTTTGGGAAAGGACAGTCTCTTCAATAAATGGTGCAGGGAAAACTGGATATCCACATGCAGAAGAATGAAATTAGACCCCTCTCTCTTGCCATTTTACAAAAATCAAATCAAAATGGACTAAATACTTAAATCTTGCCAGGTATGGTGGCCAATGCCTGTAATCCTAGCACTTTGGGAGGCCAAAGCAGGAGGATCCCTTGAGCCCAGGAGTTTGAGACCAGCCTGGGCAACATAGGGAGACCCCGTCTCTAGTTAAAAACAAACAAACAGACAGACGAAAACTTAAATCTAAGACCTCAAACTATGAAACTATCAAAACAAAACATTGAGGAAACTCTAGGACATTGGTCTGGGTAAAGATTTCTTGAGTAATACCGCACAAGCACAGGCAACCAAAGCAAAAATGGATAAATGGGATCATATCAAGTTAAAAGTTTCTGCATAACAAAGGAAACAATTAACAAAGTGAAGAGATGACCCACATAATGGCGGACATGCAAACTGTCCATCTGACAAAGGATTAATAACCAGAATACATAAAGAGCTCTTACAACTCAATAGGAAAAAAGTCTTTTTTTTTTTTTGAGACACGGTCTTTTTCACCCAGGCTGAAGTGCAGTGATGCAAACATAGCTCACTGCAGCCTCGACCTCCCTGGTGCAAGCAATCCTTTCCCTTCAGCCCCTCAAGTAGCTGAGATTACAGGTGCATGCCACCACACCCAGCAAATTTTTGTATTTTTTGCAGAGATGGCATCTTGCCATGTTGCCCAGGCTGGTCTTGTGCTCCTGAGCTCAAGCCATCTGCCCACCTTGGCCTCACAAAGTGCTGGAATTACAGGCATGAGTCACCGTGCCCAACAACAATAGGAAAAAAATCTAATAATTTGTTTAAAAAAATAGGCAAAATATCTGAATAGACACTTCTCAAAAGAAGACACACAGATGGCTAACAGGTGTATAAAATGGTGCTCAACATCATTAATCATCAGAGAAATGCACATCAAAACTACAATGAGATATCATTGCATCCCAGTTTAAATGGCTTATACCCAAAATATAGGCAATAGTGAATGTTGGCGAGAATGTGGAGAAAAAGGAACCCTTGTACACTGTTGGTGGGAATGTAAATTAGTACAACCACCAGGAAGGACAGTAGAAAAGTTCCTCAAGAAAGTAAACATAGAGCTACCATATGATCCAGCAATCTCACTGCTGGGTACATAGTCAAAAAAAAGAAATCAGTATGTTGAAGAGGTATCTGCACTCCCATGTTTGTTGTAGCACACTGTTCACAATAACCAAGATTTGGAACCAACTTAGTGTCCATTAGCAGATGAATGGATAAAGAAAATGTGGTACATATATGCAATGGAGTACTACACAGCCATAAAAAGAATGAGGTCCTGCTATTTGCAATAACATGGACAGAACTGGAGGTCCTTATGTTAAGTTAAATAAGCCATGCACAGAAAGGCAAACTTTGCATGTTCTCATGTATTTGTAGGGGCTAAAAATTATTAATAAAACAATTGAAATCATGCAGATAGAGAGTAGAAGGATGGATACCAGAAACTAGGAAGGGTAGTGGAGGATGGGGAAGGGAGAAGTGGAGATGGTTAATGGGTACAAAGATAAAGTTAGATAGAATGAATAAGATCTAGTATTTGACAGCACAACAGGGTGATTACAGTCAACAATAATTTATTGTACATTTTTAAATTGGCTGGGCGTGGTGGCTCACACCTGTAATCCCAGCACTTTGGGAGGTCGAGGCAGGTGGATCACTTGAGGTCATGAGTTCAAGACCAGCCTAGCCAACATGGTGAGATCCCATCTTTGCTAAAAATATAAAAATCAGCCAGGTGTGGTGGCATGTGCCTGTAATCCCAGCTACTCAGGAGCTTGAGGCAGGATAATTGCTTCAACCTGGGAAGCAGAGGTTGCAGTGAGCTGAGATCGTGCCACTGCACTCCAGCCTCGGCAACAGAGTGAGATTCCATCTCAAAAATAAATAAATAAAATAAAATAAAAATAAGAGTGTAATTGGCATGTTTGTAACACAGAGAAATGATAAATGCTTGAGGTGATGGATACTCCATTTACCCTGATGTAATTATTACACATTGTATGCCTGTTATCAAAATATCTCACGTACTCCATAAATGTATATACCTACTATATAGCCATAAAAACTTTTCAAAATATCGCTTCTCTGCCTTTTGGCTGAAATCAAGTGTAAAAACTTTTCAAAATAAAATATACTATGAATCCTTTTGCTATAGTAAAATTAACATTTTGCTCATCATAGTAGATAACCTCTGAATGATTAATCCAATTGATTTAAGATATACATAAAGTATATCTGAAGATATACGAGAAAGTAGTAACCAATTTGTGGCAACTTGTAGAAGAAAATGTTCATCTCCTTTACTTTTTTAGGTCTTGACTGAAATGCCACTTTCTCAAAAAGGCCTTCCCAAGTCACCTATTCAAATTTGCTGTCCCCTTCTTTGGTTTATTTTTTACTTCATAGCATTCATCACTGTCAGACACAATACCTTTTAAAATGTATCTATCCTGTTTTTATCTTTCTCCCTCACTAGAATGTAAGCTTATGAAGGCAGGGATTTCTTTCCTGTATACCTAGCTCCTAGGCAAGTAACTGTCACATAGTATTTGTGAATTAAATAATTACATCGCTAGAGATATTCAATAGATCATGGTATTAACAAAAAGGAAGCATATCTGTTTCTTTCCTTTTAAAGATATGAAAATGCTTTCCTATTTCTAAATATTTCCAAATGCATGAACATGAGTTATGATAAAAATGAACTCTTTTAGATAAGTAGCTAGTCAGTAGGGTGACAAAAATATTAATAATTATATAAATCATCTGAAAGAACAATAAAATATAAAATTGGCTGGGCACGGTGGCTCATGCCTGTAATCCCAGCACTTTGGGAGGCCGAGGCAGGCAGATCATTTGAGGTCAGGATTTCAAGACCAGCCTGGCCAACATGGTGAAACCCCATCTCTACTAAAAATACAAACATTAGACAGGTGTGGTGGCATGGGCCTGTAATCTCAGCTACTCAGGAGACTGAGGCACCAGAATCACTTGAACCCAGGAGGCAAAGGTTGCAGTGAGCCAAGACTGCACCACTGCACTCCAGCCTGGGCAACAGAGTCTCAGTCTCAAAAAAAAAAAAAAAAAAAAAGAAAAGGAAAGAAAATATAAAATTGTTTTGGGATGGTTTGATGCACTATAGTTATTTTTTTGCAGTTACAAACTTGGGATAAAAAAAGACCACATAGCAAACATCTGCAAAAAAAAATTGAGATAACTGAACAGAGCTCAGAAAGAGACCCTAAAATATATTAATATATTAATACAAGATTTTTATATTTGATAAAGATGGTATGATGGGTCAGTAGGGAAAGGAAAGGTTATATTATGTTAACTTATTATTAAATAACTTGGAAAAAGTGTTAGATTCTCACTTCATAGCACACATTAAAATAAATTTCATATTGATTAAAGAATTAGATACTTTTAA